GTCTTCTCTTTTGTAGGTTATCTAGAGTGTTTACTTTCCCATGGAATACTTCCCAACAAAACGCCATAATTTTTGGGGGAACTGGCCTGCACCAAATTTCTTTTGACGGAAAGGGTTGGAGAGTAGAAAGTTGAGAGATGGACTTGAAGAAAGAAACACAAGTGAAGGTTCCATTGGGTCTAGGAGTTCAAACCCTCCTATCTAGCTTGGAGGGATCCAAACAAACCTGATTAAGACAACCAAGCCAAAATTCCTTCACCTTCTTTAGCATCCAACTCCTCAATTTGATTAATCACCTCTTTCTCTCCTCAATCCTTCCAAAATGTTGGATATTCCATTCTTTGATCTTGGCTCTACGTTCCTTCATTTTCTAATGAAATTTCATTCCTTCCCAATTTACCCTTGGGTTACTTTCACTCCACCAAGCCTTTACTTTCTCTACAAATCTAGGGTGACTCAACTACATGTTGTCAAATCTAAATGGGGTTAGACCCCTTCTACCCAACTCTTCTTTGGCAATAGTGATAGGCTAGTGATCAGAAGTAACCCTAGGCAAAGCCTTTAAAACTAAATCCCCTCAATGTCCTTCTCAATCTACAGTGAACAAGAATCTATCAATTTTAGAGCAAATAGGGGTGGCCTAAAGGTTAGACCAAGTAAAGTCGTTATGCAATAGAGACACTTCCTTGAGCTCAAAGGTATTGATGAAATCACTGAATTTCCTCACATCTTCCTTCTTTAGCTACTGTATATGCTTTGTATAGAAGACTTTATGCTGTACAATTGTAACTCATTTTTTAAAAAGTAATAAGATACCCCAATTGTTGTTGATTAAAAAAGTCTGTTACCATACTCATCTTTGCTCTTTGTATTGATGTTTTTTGTCCACTGCTAAATTACCCCACTAGCTCTTGTTGCCTCAGTTATTCTTAGTTTCCTTTATTTTCTTACTGTTTTGCTTACCAGGTTTATACAGCAGTCCTTGCAAAATATAGCTCTATCAGTTTCCATTGTTTTATTGAATTTTGAAATGCTACTGAACTCCAAGAGTCATGAAAAAGGAACAAATTTGGGGCTATCAACAGTCTTATATATTAAAGAACCCAGTACCCACTAAAATCAATCTTGTTTGTGAAAGAAATGATATTGTATGATATACACATTTTAAAATAAATGTATAATTAATGCACAAACATTATATTGCACTCACCAAGCATAACTAGCCATCTAGGAGGCCAACCAACACACTATAGAGCAATTGTGGCTTGTTTCAAAATGCCTAGGTGGTGAATTGACAACAATAAAGGAACAAACGATAACATGCAATGATAGCAATGCAGAGTAGTGAAAATTGACAGTAAACACAGTAAAAGTACAAAACCATACCAGTATATCTGAATCTTCATCTATGGTGGCCAACGTAACAAGCTGTGATATAACTCGTTGAGCCACCTGTGAATTGATAGGTTGTCCAATGAAGATTATACGGTTTCTGAACAATACAGATGAAAGATCTAAAGGTCCTCCAGGAGTCATTACAGCTGGCATTATGGGAGGATTGCCTCTTTTGGCTGCTAGCACACCATAACTGTCAAGACAAGGAAATGTTATCATTCAATAGAAACCTGATAACCAAACAAATGGGTATTTGAGAAAATTTGCAACAAGGATCTACATGGTATAATTTCAGAAATTGGAGAAGGAATGAAAGCAAATTTTGATCTAAGAAGCAGGCCATCGATGACTGGGATGTTAATAAATATTCAATTTTGTATTAGAGGAAAAAAGCATCTAGTTTATGAATGAAAGCATAGGACCTATTTTTTGCTAGAGTTCATAATGAGCCCAATTGTTTTAAAACTGTGAGGCAGGGGGTATCTGATTCAAATAAAATAAAATTTATAGAAAAGGCAAAGTATTATTATATTTGTATTTCTGACTGCTGAGGTTTAAAAGGGAGAGAAATCTCAATACAGTGAGTGACTGAAGAATAGATATGGGTTCACAAAAGTATCAAAACCATACTAGAAATATTTGTCTTAAATATGGATGCCACCATGCAAAACCCATATATAAAACTATAGACAAGTCACTAAGTTTCACTTTTGATATAACACTTGTGGGCATTTTTTCTTGATTTAGTTTTTGGGCCCTCTCATGATAGTTGAACATGAGAGCACTATAAGTATGCCACATAAACCACAATTACAAAGTGAAGCATCTGCTTGCTCACATCAAACATTCTTTTTGCTTTTTAAGTAAAAGGTGCCCTAAGGCTTAGTTTGGAAAGAGTATAAATACAAATATGTAGAGTGCAAAACCTTGTATTTTGTATGGCAAGGTGCCAACCAGATGGTTGGTACAGTCTCCTGCTGGCTGTAGCAGAGACTTAGGATCGAATCCCACCTGCACCTTAGGCTCTGATTTTCAGAAACAAGCACTGACCTTCTATGTTATCCTGGAGCAATCCAGTAACATATGAAACAGTTCTTTCCTTCTTAAGATGCTTAATACATAGTTATTTTTATAAATCTTAATACATAGAATATTAAGAATCTAAAGAGCATTTACAAATTATACTAGGTTCTTCACTCTTTTTTTTTTTGGTTGGTTGGTTGGCTCTTCTCAGTTTTGAAATGTGCCTTTTAAGGAATATACTTTCATGCATAAGCATACCATAAGCTCCTTAATCAAATAACAATTCAAAAGGAAAGTGGCAATTGACATTTTTAACAACAAATAGATACTTGCAAAAAAAGCTGCAAATATTAGAAGACCAGAAAGAATACCTTGGATCGGTAGGATGGTGAACCTGCTCATTGAGCTTTAGAGGTAAACCCTGAGTTCTACTAGATATTCCTGGTTCACACAATACTCACCTAATAAATTACCCATTAGCACTCATACAAATATGTAAAAGATAACAATTCGGTTGGGTTAGATCTTAACTCTGTCATAGTTGTTCAATGTATCTATTATTTGTTAACGAATATATTATGCAAGATAGCATCCACTTGTCATGACATAAATGAACATAATCAAATTATACCATCAAACATAATTGAATTATCTTCAATGGATAAGTGGACTAAATCACTAATTAGGCCCATCAGTAATTAATCCAAGTCTTCCTTTTATTAGCATAAGTGTCAAGTTTCTTGGTAATTCAGCAGTTCATCTTTCCTTTCTCCGCATTGGACACTTAGTGTTCTCTGTTTTGGAACGTAGCTTGTAACCCCGTTAAATTTTCAAAAAAAAAATCATAATTATAAGATAAATTAATTAGGAAAATATGTAGAAACACTCACCATGGGAATTGGGCAAGGCGGCAAAAACCAATCTGCCTGAGCTTCTGTAGAATCTCAAAAAACCAAAAACAAGAGAGAGAGAGAGAGGGGAGGGGAAACATAAACATTATCATGATTTATATTTTAGAGTTCAGATAAATAGCAAACAACTTGCGCCAAAAAAGTAATTATAATAAGGCGAGAAACTAAATTTCGAGATAGAATGACCGAAAAAAATATATAAATATAGATATTAAATAAAGATAGAGAGAGTAGGATGTAATCACCTTCGAGAGGATAATGAAACAGAATCTGTGCTCCGGCATGACCCCACGAAGCCCAAACGTATAGAAATAGCTAATGAAGTTACCATTCTTCTATAAGTAACTCAGAATGAAGGCACTCCTCCCTGTTCGGTGCACAGCGAACGAGAGAAATTGGATTAGAGAGGAGAAAAAGAGAGAAGCTTTAGCGGTTTAGATAACAGGGACTCACCGAAGATCGGCAGTCAGAGAGCAGATGCAGTGTTTTTTCTCTTAGCCACTGGACGTTTGTTGCGGTCGAAGATAAGGGAGTCAGAAAGCAAAAACTCTTCCTTTCCCTACCTTTTCCTTCGAACCAAACATAGCCTAATTTTCTTCGCTGGCGCGTCCGTTTCATTTTGGAATGGCAACGGTCCGGATTCGGGGCGGGGCACCCCTCCCTTCCCCGTCCACGCCCAATCAAGATACTCAACCCTGTCCTGTTCCTGCCCCGTCTTCCGTTGCGGGGCACCCATTCCGGAGAATGGGGAATTTTCGAATTTTCTCGAACTCCACCTAAAATGCATTTAGTTTCAGGGTATTTTAATTATAGGAATTTGGGGTATTTCAGAATTCAATTATGAAAATTTAGAAGTATTTTAGAAATGGAATTATGGGATTCTAAGATTTTAGGAATTTAGGGAAAACCTAGAAATATTTTAAAAATTAATATTAAACCTAGGAATATTTTACTAATTTACCATTAAGTTTGGGGCGAGTTTAAGGAATTATATGCAAACCCCGTCCCATTTAATCCCTAATGTAGGGCAAAAATATTTTCCCTATTCCCATTTAATACCACCCCATTTGAGGTGGGGGCAAAAATCAGTTGGTTGGCAGCCCTAAGCCCATTTGGGTAGGGTCACAAGAAAACGCCAAATAACTGTGAGCATAGCAGAAGATTGATTGATTGACAACCCCAAGCCTGTTTGGGTTGGGTTGTAAATGAGTTGGATACAATCCAATTTTATTATTATTACGATTTTATTATTTTATTATTTTGTTATATTATCATTTTATTAGTACTTTATTGTTGTTCTATTAGTGTTTTATAATCAATATCTTATTAATTTATTAATATTTTATAAATATATAATTATTATGAATATTTTATTAATAATTTATGGTATTTTTTATTAGGGGTAATTTGGCTAACCAATCATGAAGAGACACATGGCGAGTCCGAACCATCTAATGACACATCAGTGCCATGTAAGGATAGGTTGAACTAAGACAAGTCGGCCTAAACCGATTAACCCAACCCATCTCGACCTAAGGAAGACCAATAGGTCACTCCTCAACAAAGTGGAGCACATCACTTAGGGAGAACAAGCTGATGACTTTGAATGCTAGCTTGACCTTCCCGACCTAGGCAGCCAATGTCTAGGGTACCATCCTATGCGGCGGGCTATCCTTATCTGGTTAGAACACCTGTCAACTCTGTAACCGATAGTAGCACATCGCCCACCTAGCAAGGATGACCCCCGTCCCTGCACGCTTCAAAGAGACTAGATGTGGATCGTTGCTAGCACCGGTGAAACGTGTCTCGAAGACATCGACTCATCAATGTCTCAATGAACCTAGCGAGGACCCGGACCTCTGAAGCATAAGATGCTACTTATGTCCCTAATGAGAAGACCAGCAAGGTGACCACCTCAGTCAGGTTAGATAATAATGCTTAGACATCAAGGTCCAGGAGGAACAAGTGTAGGAGGTGCCACATGCATGAGCACATTAAAAGTTGACTTAGCCCTAAGGTGGAGGACTACCAATAGAGCCCTCTAAGGACCAGGATGTTAGCTGGTCAAAACTCCAATTACACCCCAATTCATCCAAGCCTCAACCTTTGCGGCCAAGATCCATGTTGAACCCTGGACCGAGGACTTCAAGGCCCAAATTTGGAGACCTCGATAGAATGACAAACCTGGTTGACCACACCGACAACTTCCAGGCCGTCATGTAGTTGCATGGAGCAAACAAGGCAAGATTGTGCCTCGCCTTCCCAACTACCTTCTATTAGGCGACTCAGATGTGGTACTCCGATCTAGCCCTCGGTTCCATCAAAACCTGGGATTAGTTTGTTAACTTTTTGCCACTCAATTCGCCACCAACAAACGCCGTTCAAAGACTACCGACCACCTGATGACGATCTATTAGAAATCCGGCAAGGACATCAAAGAGTATGTATAGAGGTTCAATCTGGAGTCTTTGCAAATCTACAATCTTGAACATGTCGTACAAATGACTACAGCAATCCATGGTGTCTGAGACCCCTTTCTTAGGAGGTCGCTTGCGAAGAATCCCCCAGAGGACATGGAGAAGTTTTTCAAGCAAGATAAAAAATATATGAATAACAAGGAGACGCTTCGTACATACGAGGATCTCATTGGAACCGGCAAGAGGAAGGAGGGCGATGATGACCGAGGCGAGAGTAGCAGCAAGTGCAACCAAGGAACAACTGGTCGTCAAGGTGCTCAAGGTCTCCATGTCGCAGGTATAGGTCGTCCGACCCCTAGTCACTTTAGGTCGTTGCCCCGCCTCTCTAGGTTGTCGACACGACACTCCAAGATTCCCCCGTGAAATACAATAACTACACTCCACTAAACGTGAGGAGGGGAGAGATCCTCATGGAGATCAATTCGACTGACTACCTAAAGTGGCCACCTCATCTAAAGGGAAACCTGGCCAACAAAAACCAAGACTAGTACTACCACTTCCATCAAGATAAGGGGGCATCAGTGTGCGACCTGAGTAATGACGAGGAGAATCTTCCCCCAAGAGGCCAATAGGTGATTTATTTCACTGAAGATGATAAGAGAGGGCTTCACTATCCCCATGATGATGCCCTTGTGGTTAAGTTGATCATCCACGACTACAAGGTAAAGCACATCTAGGTCAATAGTGGCAGCTCGACAAACATTCTTTTTGTGGAAGCTTTCAAGAAGATGCAGCTGCAAAGGTTGGACCTCGTCCCTACCAACGTACCACTGGTCGATTTCAGCGGGGAGGTTGTTCGACCTATAGGAAGGATCAACCTGCCAATTACAATGGGGACCACACCAAACAGGATCACATTCGACCATAGTTTTCTAGTCATTGACACACACTCACCCTATAACGCCATTCTTGGTCACCGTATCCTGCATGCACTTGGATCCATTATATCCACATACTATTTGGCTATGAAATTTTCCACCAAGATTGGAGCTAGGTAGTGTGCGGGGACCAATTAGAGTCCTAGACGTGGTGGCCTCAAAAGACAAGGCAAAGCAGTTGTTGGTGGTCAACTTGGAGCCGTTCCTAGAGTCTGGCAAGGACAAAGTTTGCCTATAGAATATGTTGTCTTGGTGTCAGTCTCAGATACCGAGCCCGTGAATACGGTCCAAATTAGATCTTAGCTCGAGGAACCTCTACATTCCGAATTAGTAAGTTTTTCGCATTCTAATGTAGATATATTTTCTTGGTTGCCTACTAACATGCTCGACATAAACCCCTCTATTATTACCCATAGGCTTAATGTAGATCCTTTGGTTAGACCCATAAAGTAGAGGAAAAGAAACTTCACCCAAAGCGGTAGAGGACCATTGACGATGAGGTTAGGAAGCTCCTTAGTGCTGACTTTGTTAGAGAAGTAGAGTACCCGACCTGGATAGCGAATGTGGTACTCGTCAAAAAGGCAAATGGGAAGTGGTGAATGTGCGTCAATTACACTGACCTGAACTGAGTCTATCCAAAGGAAAGCTTCCCACTCCCAAGGATAGACATACTGGTAGATATCACATTGAGGTTCGAGATACCAAGTTTCATAGATGCCTACTCCGGTTACAACTAGATCCACATGGATCCAGCACACCAAGAGAAAACAACTTTTGTAATCGAAACCGGTCTATATTGTTATAAGGTTATGCCTTTTGACCTAAAGAATATCAGGGTGATCTACTAATGTCTTGTAAATATTTTTTTTTCAAATTTAATTGGAAATAAAGTAGAATTTTATGCAGAAGATAAGATTGTAAAGTAAAAAATTCCAGTTCTCTTATTGTTGATTTAATTGATGTGTTTGTTGTACTAAGAAAATATAACTTGAACAAGTGCATATTTGGAGTCACATCGAGCAAGTTCCTCAACTACATAGTCACCCGACATGGCATTGAAGCGAACCTTGAGAAAATTAAGGCAATAATAGACATGCAACCTCCATGGTAGTATACTCAGATCTGGTCTACAATGTAGATAAAGTGTAGTGACCTGTTTACTACATAAGCAAGGTTTTGCGTGCAATTGAGACCAGGTACCCGAACATAGAGAAGCTCGCCTTTGTGCTCATCATATCAGTTGGAAGTTACGTCCTTACTTCCAAGCCCACACTATCGTCGTTCTCACCGATAGATCCCTTCGCCAAGTGTTGCAAAAGCCAGAGGTCTCGAGAAGACTGATGAAGTGGGCCATCAAGCTTAGAGAATACAACATCCAGTTCAAGTCGTGCCCAACGATCTAGGTGCAGGTTTTGGTAGATTTCGTGGCTAAATGTACCTTTAGCTTGCCAACCTCGGCACTGGATGAGCCTACATACAACTCAAAGATGTCCACCAGAGCAAAACCATCCCTCAACTAGGATGAAGAACCTTGGATCCTTCATCTAGAGAGGCAATAGAGCCGACTTGATTCTATTAGGACCCAACGAGGTGAAGCTAGAGTATGTCCTATGGTTCAGATTCCAGGCATCCAACAACAAAGCTGAGTAAGAGGCTCTCATCACCAGCCTATCCCTTGCAAAGGAGGTTGGTGCAAGGAACGTAGAGGCATGTAGTAACTCCCAGCTCGTGGTGAACTAGGTGAACAGACACTGTGAAGCTCGGGAGCCAACGATGGTGAAATACTTGGCAAAGGTACATGAGCTAATCAAACAATTCAACTCCTTCAGCATACATCAAATAAAAAGGTACGAAAATACTTAGGTCGATGTGCCCTTAAAGCTGGTTGGCTTTATGGACAATACTAGGAGGACGACCTACATAGAAGACTTATCACGACCTAGCATAAATAAAGCGATAAAGGAGGAGGTTTCTCCTGTGAAGGTCACAGAACCAAGCTAGATGGATCCTCTCTTTGAGTACTTGTGCCATGAAGCATTGCCCTTAGATTAGAATGCAACTTAGAAGATTGAATTCAAGGCAGTTCATTACGTCATAGTTGACGAACAGTTGTACAAGAAGTTCACCCTTCCTTACTTACAATGTCTCCAACCTAGTGAGGCCGAGTACGCGCTCTGGAAGATTTATGAGGGACTTTACGCCAAACACTTGGA